CCTAGTCAGAGTCCTCCGAGATACTACCCTAACTTCCTGTCTTCTAACTCCCTCTTGTGACATGATACAGTCTCCCTAACATCCCATCACTATTCATTCAGAGGCTAGGTATTTCCTTCCAGGTGCAAAACTAACGGGAGAACACAGTTTTCCATAATTTACGTTGTTCTAGCTATTCTATGTATTTATGTAGAACTACTATTTTATGTAGCTCTTAAGCACAGAAGGGTTGGTTATGAATGGCCTGCCAATGTTTCTGGCAAAGACAGATTTTACAAATAAATTTGTCAGACTTCAGATAAAGACTGTCAATAGCGGGGTGCCTGGGTGGCTCAGTCAGTTGAGCGTCTGACTTCAGCTCAGGTCATGATCTCACAGCTAGTGAGTTTGAGCCCCATGTCGGGCTCTGTGCTGACAGCTCAGAGCCTGGAGCCTGCTTCGCTTCAGATTCTCTGTCTCCCTCTCTCCCTCTACCCCTCTCCTGCTCATGCTCTGTCTCTCTCTGTGTGTCAAAAATAAACATTAAAAAAAAAAAAAGACTCTCAATAGCATAGAATTGTGCTGTGAGAAGTCACCAGAGCAGTTGTTATAGGCCACTGCCTCATTTCAGTCATGCTATCTTACATGTATTCAGGTTTTTAAATACTTTATCTTTTTTTATATATAATTTAAAAGAAAAAATTAATGTTTACTTATTCTTGAGAGAGACAGAGAGTGCATGAGCAGGGGAGACTGTTTACTGACTGTAAAAAGTCTTTACAGGAGTAGGTCTCCGGCTAGGAGCAGAACTTTTTTTTCTGACCTGATGATCTTTCGTTAACCCAATGAAACAGTTCATAAAGAAGAAGACACAAGGCTGGAAGGTGTTTTCCTTTAAGATTCTTCTTTGGTTGATAAAAAATCATAAAGAAGGACAAATCCCTCAACATTTGGGGAGAAATACTTTCTCAATTTCTTTTATTTGGAAGTTGAATGGGAACTGTGGAAGAGGGTAATTTGTGGTGGGGGATTCATACACTCAGTATGTTTTGAACAAATGCTCAAACGAACCATGCCTTGTCCTCTTGTTTCTTGTATGTGCCAAAACTAAAATATATCCCAAATCTCAGTTTAGCTGTGGTTTTAGCTCCAGACCTCTGGGCATTTGGTACAACACACTTTGCTGGTGATGGTTGAGATTTAACCTTGAAACCAAGTTGTTATATAATTTAACAACATATCCCTGTGTATTTGGTGGTCAACACCATGTTATTTTTTATTAAAAATGTTTCTGTCAATACAACTTTTATTCTTTGTATTGAGTGTCTGTGGCAAGTCTTTAATTACTGTTGAGAAATTTGTAATATAGATACATAGGTATTCGCTTGCAACAGTGAAAAAGGCATAAGGTTTTCTAACACCTCCAGGTGCTAGCTACCTAATGGACCTTCAGACAAGAGACTGAAATATTAAGAGAGTTGATTGGGGTCAAGATGGAATGGAGGACTACATTAAACTAGATGGAAAACAAAAGTAATCCAAAGAAAAATATGAATGCTAGGGTAATTAGGCTGATTATAAAGGAATGACAGTGGCTAAAATTTATTAGGTACAGGTCCCCGTGATGTGAGATCTGCAGCAAATCAGGAGAAGCCTCCAGACTGAATTCAGGTTAATGTCACCTCGGCTTTCTGGGGGAGGTTATGGTGTTCTCAAGCTTTTCATACTTACATGGGTTGTAAAAACGGCAGAACCAGCCAAGAGGCATCTGGGTTCCTGAAGTAACAGGTATGACATTGATGTTAGAGTTAAATCAGTTTTCCATTACCTGGGGATTGATTAAACTGGTACGAATTATTGTGGGAGGTCAAAAAAAGAAAAAAAAAGGGATGCCATTTGGTTTTAGAGAATGCTGAAAAAATGCAAAGCATGGACTTTAGGATCAGAAGATGGGGCTTGGAGTCCAGGCTGTACCTGTCAAGCTGAGTTGTCCTGAGTGAGTCAGGTAGCCTAAGTCTCAGTGTTCTCTGCATTAAAATGAACCTAATAACATGGTTATTTTGACTCTCAGGCTAACATATATGAATGCATGTTATGAATTTACAGTGCTAGTTACTTGTTTTTATTCTTTTCTAGTGCTGACACCAGGTTATGAATCAAAAGGGAAACAAAACAACATACCCTACTCCATCTGGGGGACAAAAAAGATGGGAGTGAATATTGCTTTTACAGCATTTTCCCCTTCTTCCTTCATCTGGATCTTTCATAACTGCATTTATTTGCTGTTATGGCTGTACCCTCCAAAGCCCCTGTATTTGATGTCTTTTGGCCCTTACACACATGTGAAGAATTAAGACAAACAACAATGTTATAGGCCTGCCCACTCATAGCTTAAGGGAGCAAGTTATGGAAATTGACCATAACCCTTGGGAACCTAAATTCCACTGACTACAGGTGGGGGACCATTTTTTGGTTTTTTGTTTTGGTTTATTTTTTGGTTTTGTTTTTGTTTTCAGAATTTTTAAATTTTTTTTAAAACTTTTTAAAGCAATGTGGTTTCTGCCTGCTCTTCCAACAATACAATGGCTTGGACTTTTGTGGGTTGGGAAACCATTAGAAAACAAAAATAACGGATCTTGTACAATTCATCAAGCCCACATGGGAATTTCTCAACCACACAGTCCTGTAGGATTATGGCTAGTGTGCCAGAGACATGTGCTAACCCTCAGCTTTATTCATACCAAATAGTCACTCAGTCACTAGGGTAAATGAAATAAAGGTAACCACTGACACTACTATTACCATTTTTGAAATGTGAATTCTGAAAGGAATATGGCGATTCAGTCTCCAAAAATAGCACAATGTCAGCACATCTCCCTCAATAGTTACTAGATAAGAAATCAACATGAATAACTTTCAGGAGCCAAACTAAATATTGTTTTACATCCTTACATTTAATAATATCTTACTATTCACTAAAGTTTACTTGAAGACAAGAATCACTTTACGAAACAGAATGCATACAGTGCTTAACAGAGGTGTAAAGCTTATAACAAAGTATAGGTGAAATTGTATTCCAGTAAAGATTTAGAACTGGTTTTTGAAGAGGATAGCTCTATTTTGGCCAGCTTCATTTAATGAATTTTTAATTATTCATAATAACCAGATGATTTCCTTTTGCCTGAATCTAAACCCAAAGATGCTCAGAATAAGAAGACATCTCTCTATGGGTTCTTCCTTCTAGATGGCTTTTTTTGCAGTATTTGAAAGTTTTTCTTGGTGGTATTTCAAGAAACTGAAGGAAGACCTTATTTTGTAACTAGGCTGTTTACTTCCCATGTTCTGACTTTGCCACAATATAAGCACATTACTGGACTCTTCTCTAAGTCTCAAGTCTACTTGAATGCCTGTACAATATCCTTAGGTTACTCAGCCATCTTCTCTGGTTGTGAGCAAAAGTGGCCACCTTCAGTATATCCATGAAAAAAAGAGTAGCCCAGGATTTCCTGGAGTATCTTAAGGGCCATAATTTGCACATAGGGGCACTTTTAAATAACTTACTAAATGGCATTCTGTAGAGGCAATTTACAGAAAGGTTTCTCTCACTGGCACTAGGGTTCATGGTCAATGAACCAGTAGGCTGGATTTCAGCCCTCACCTGCCCTGGCAAGGCATTTTTGCACAGCGCCTGAAACAGACTACCCTATAGGGCCCCCTGGATATGTATTCACCTTTAACTGTTCCTCCCACATCCATTCTGAGGCCACAGACATCTGAAAAGACATGGTAGGCATAATTTCTTCAGAACCAGAAATGTCTCCAATTTCCGCCTCCTAGTCTTCCTTCAAATATTCACTCTCTTCTAGTCTCTGTATTTCTTTCTATCCCACTAAAATGAACCCAAGTTCTCCCTCTCCACCCAGTGATTCTCAAACTTTTTGATGTGAGTCCCACCTACCTGAGGCAAAAGGCTCCAAGACTCACACACTCCTCCAGTCTTTCCTACTCTCCAAAGAATTCTCTGGTAGCAACAAACTGTTGCTGTGCAAACACATTTTGTTCAGATTGTGTGAATATCTGCTTTAGCAATATTGACATAGACAGTTCTATGTGTACTGCAATCCATATTCATGCTAATGTTTTGTTACAGAGAACTTAAAGGTGATAAATTATGGTGATATCACTCTCCTACCATAGGGTTAATCAAACAGTATACCTCAAAGAAAATAGATGATGATGAAGATAGAGAAGGGTAATTTATAATTAAAAAGCAGGAATAATAACCACAGAAAAGAATAATCAACTCATCATAGCACTGATACTGGTAACAGAACAATCTTCCCCAAAACTGAGGATCCTTCAACAATCTGCCCATGCATGTTTATAGTGGGAGTTTGCAAATACTGCCAAGTGTTGCCTGGCAGCCAGGTGAGTACTTAGTCAAGTCCTCAGTAAACTCTACTTATGTGCTAAATTCTTATTTATGAATACGAAATACTACCAACTCCTAACAATTTTGCAGACATTAGTAAGTAGCCTTTAGAGAAACACACACACACACACACACACACACACACACACACACACTGAAAATCTAGGACATCAAGGGCCATTTGCTAGTAAGATCCAAAGACAAGACTTACATTTGGGATCAGTTTGTGGAACATGAGGAAGATGCTTGTGGCCTCCCAGTTTGCTAGAGTGCATACCTTAAAAATCACTGCTTAGGTAGTTGGCTTGGCTTTTTGACTCAGCTGCTCAAGATGCTGGATCACTTTTTCCGTAGTCTATGGCTACTAAGGCACCATGACCTTGTGCCTTAACCAGCTCCCTGAACCCCCAACACTCCCAGTCTCTCTCACTGGAGTCCGTCCCTGGGAAGGAGAATCAGATGTTACCCACTGACTGGGCAGACTCCCAGTTACCACCTTGTAGTATCTGTGATGGCATAATGGGAGGCCTTGAGTGCAACTTGGTAGAGGGAAGTCAGGAGAGTTGGTCACAGGCCACCTCTGCCTTCACAGCTGTTTGACAGTAGGCAGGTTACCTCACTTCTCAGTTTAGATATCTCCTCTATGAAATGGAAGGAATAATACCAACCTCACAGATTTCTTATGAAGATCAAACAAGATAATGTAAGTGATAAAACATGGTATAATATATATTTTATTTATAAAAGTAATGTGTGTTATTGCAGAGAGGTAATGTTCATGCAAACATTTGGACTGTTCTAATTTCAAAGTTTAACTAATATTAGGATGCTATGATGTATAAGAATGACAAAAAATATAGACTGTCAGCCATGGAGATCAAATGCAAGGACCTCACAGGCCCTAGAGATTGTTGAGAAAGAGTACAAGTTCCTGATTCCACAATCCCGAAACATGTTATAAGGAAAAGTACATGTCTTAGTGCTCCTGAATCATCCTCCAGCCCTTTGCAGAAAGGTGATATTAGAAGCTATTCTTGAAGAATCAGGAGTTATCCAGGCAAAGAAGAAGATGAAGGCTGTATAAAGATGTTTTGGATAAATGGAATGGCATAAGTGAAGGCAAAGAAACATGGCTTATTCTGGAAATTACAAACACTTAAGTGTTGCTGGTTGTAAAATGTAGGGAGAAGAGACATGGGAGAGGAGGCTGGCTAGGAAGAATACCTGTCATGTCACCAGCCTATTCATCATGTCAGTGATGGGCAGCCAATGAAACAGTGTAGCCCAAATACATGGCTGGATTTGAGTTACACAAACACCACTCTGATGTCGGTTTGGAGGATGAGTCTGAGGGATGACAACCTGGAGAGAAGACATTTTAAAGCTTTTCCAATAGTTCTAGTAGGAGATATTGAGGTCCTGAGCTAGAGCAGGGAAGGGACTGGAGGGGCATATGAAGTGGTGAATCAGCAGGCCTCACTCATTGTATTAGTCAGGATATGATAGATTATATTATGGTAACAAATGATCCCCACATCTCAGTGGTTTATCACAAAAGCTTATTTCTCAGTCATGCAGTTAGCCAGGCTTCTTTGACTTGGTGACACTACCATCTCAACATAAAACCTCTGCATTCAACACAACAGGAGAAGAGGGATGTTTCAGGTAAAGAGGACTGAGAAGGTTTCTTTTACTACCTTAGCCCAGAAATAAGATGCAAAGTTTTATTCATGTTTCATTGGTCCATACTAGTGATATAGCGGCTGCACTTAACTGAAAATGAGGTGGGAAGTATGTCTCTTCTATGCCCAGAAAGAAAAGAATTGGATATTGGTAAATACTGGTGATGTTTACCACATGGCGGAATAGAGATGGGATAGTCACTGTAGTGAAATATGCATATGGTAGATGGAGAGGTGAAGGAAGTTTATGATAAATTTCAGATTTTTAGCTTGGAAAAATAGAGGTTGATGGTGCCGGTCAGTGAGACAGGAAAGGCTGAAGAGCACCATACTAGGTAAAATAAGGCATTTTATCATAGGGTGTAATATTTTATCATAGGGTAAAATAATGGTTTTTGGATACATGAAACATCCCTAGGATAAGCATTGTATCCAGAGATAAAAAGCAAAAGGTAGAGTCAGGTCAAAGGTAGTATTGGGCAAGGCTGAAGGCAGTTACAGTGTTTAAATAGTTTAGAAGAAGCAGTAACTGAGTCATGGTCATGAGTGGAAGGCAAAGCAGACAAATCACCAGGAGAAGGTGTTTGGAGAAAAAATATAGGCTGGTGCTCAGGCCACTTTCAGCATCAAGCACACACTTGCCTGAGGCTATGAAATATGTTAAAGATGTCGTCGAATGCCTGACTGTGCTCTGAACTTTAGCTAGTGACTGAGGTTCTGGTTTTCCATCTCTTTGCAGCCATCCAACCTCTCTGGGCCTGGATCCTGCTCCCATAAATGAGCCTTCTGCAGCCTGGCCACATGTAGCCAACCCTCCTTTACCCTTATCTACTCAGACCTTGGAATATCTCTTACCTGGCACCAACTGATGCCATAACCATAACAGAGGTTGCTATCATTTAGACTCTGCTTTAGACACTTACCCCAGGTTTAAACTCTCATATAGGACAGTTCCTCCAAACCCCATCCTGAGTCCCTCACATAAGCCATTGTCTCTTGCTCACTAGCCGTTCTGCCAACTCAGAAAACTGTAGTCCCATTTTGCCTCAGGCCATACGCTTAGGAATTTAAGAGGCTCAATAAAAGCAATGGTCTTGGCATGTATTTTCCAGAAAATATTTACTGTCAGTAAAGGATGAAGTTTCTCTGAGATTTTAGAGTGAGACGTGGGTGGCATTATATAGGAACCAGCCCAGAAGCAATAAGGCAATCAGTGGAGAGGTAAGCTTGCTCCCAGCTGGACGTAGGATTCCATGTCCAGAGTCCATGGCTGATTATTACAGGGGACCAAGACTAGGGAAGAGAAAATTGTCAGGAAGTTCACAGAGACTTCAGGAAATAGGTCAACTGCCATCCTTACCTCTCCTTTACCAGGAGGAGACTAAAAATCCACAATCAGGTCTACAGAAGTACACAATAGATCCACTGTAGCTGTAGGAATCAAGACTCAGGCTCCAGGAAAGTGGAGTGGCACCATGGCTTCAGGAACACCAAGAGTCAGAGTTGGTTTGCAGAACCACATTCTTCTGGGAGTTCTACAACAGTCTTGCCTCCTTCACTGCACCCAGGGAGAAGAAAGGCTGGCAGAAGCAAAGCAACAAGCAAAGAGAACCCTGATAAGAGCATGGAGCAGGGCAGGCCTTCTCCAACAGAGGTTGAACTTTGAGACCCAAATGTAATGGAGTCAAGTAGGCATTCTGGCTTCCCCCCAGGGCCCCTCAAGGATAACTCTACCTGATAGAATCCCTGAAGCCTTTGAGCCTCTCTATGACCTCTGACAACGGCTTCTTCCAAGCTCCCATTGGAACTTGCATAAGAGCAGCTACACTGGTTGAATGGAGTCAATATGCCTGGGAAGGAGGGAGGCAGCTGTAACTGGAAGTTCACTAGAAAAACTGGGATAGGGATACAGTGTGGACAAGAGCTAAGAGAAGACCCAAGGATAACTGTCAAATCTGACATTCTATTACTTGTTCTAAAAGATGACTATCTACAAATCATCCCTAGGATACCCAAGTTCACAATATTGCTTAATGCAATTAAAAAGAAGTAACACTCTAGGATTTTTTCTCTTTTTGTTTATCTCCCTTGGAATTTATGTGTTGAAGAAATCGTCTACATTTTACTGATTACATTTGTAGCTATTGTTTCAAATATGCCTCTTGTAAGTTGTAATTATAAACTGACATTTAGATATAGATGCTTGATCAAATTCAGGGTCAGTATGTGGGAGAAAGATATTCCATAGGTGGTTTGTGGACTTTCCTCAGGAGGCACATATTTTTTCCCCAGTTTTGCTAAGATATGATTGACAAATAAAATTGTTTTATAATATAAAAAAATTACTGGGACCAATAAAAAAAGAAGTAACAAATATGAAAGCACATTATATACTGTAACATTGAATAAATATAGGATCTTGAAACTGTTTAAAAGCTAGTATGTAAAAATAGGCTTTATAGCCCCCATTTGTGGACAAGTGCTATGCTAAGTGTTTTATATACATCATTTTAGTCAATGCTCCCCACAACTATACTAGGCAGGTGCTATTATTATTTGCATTTTACAGATGAGGAAACCCAAGCTCCTAGAGTATCTGATTCAGGTTATGCAGCTAACCGGTAAGAAGCACAGCCTGTGGTCAAGCTCACATCTGTATTGATTCCAGAGTACTTCTCCCAAAGCCTGAGAACACTGTTGTGTCTTTGTTTCACACATCTGGCTGAGCTGTCTCTTCACTCATGGTCTGCAGAAGTTAGTTCTGCAGCACCAGCTCTTGTCTCTACTGTCAGCCAGAGAGCAACCTCTGGGAGATCTTGAGGAAGGCCTGGTTCTGGAGGAGGGCTCCTCCCATCCCCCTTTCGCAACAAGCCCACAATGGCCAAGCTCTGGGCCTTATCTGGCAGCCCTCACATTCTTCCTAAGCACCCCAAGCAGGACACATTCCTGACTGGGTGGAGGGAAGAATTCTTAGCATTCTTCAGCCTCTGTCCTCTTAAGAGCGCCTAATCTCAAGTAGGATAGAGAAAAAAAAAATCCTTCATTTCTAACGTTTGGAATTACTCTGAATTAAGTCCTGCTCTCCAAACAAGGAGAAGGGGGAACAAAGCGCTGGAGGGAGATTTCAGGACCACTGAGACATGTACTTTTCCTTATAACATGTTTCGGGATTGTGGAATCAGGAACTTGTACTCTTTCTCAACAATCTCTAGGGCCTGTGAGGTCCTTGCATTTGATCTCCATGGCTGACAGTCTATATTTTTTGTCATTCTTATACATCATAGCATCCTAATATTAGTTAAACTTTGAAATTAGAACAGTCCAAATGTTTGCATGAACATTACCTCTCTGCAATAACACACATTACTTTTATAAATAAAATATATATTATACCATGTTTTATCACTTACATTATCTCGTTTGATCTTCATAAGAAATCTGTGAGGTTGGTATTATTCCTTCCATTTCATAGAGGAGATATCTAAACTGAGAAGTGAGGTAACCTGCCTGCTGTCAAACAGCTGCGAAGGCAGAGGTGGCCTGTGACCAAGTCTCCTGACTTCCCTCTACCAAGTTGCACTCAAGGCCTTCCATTATGCCATCACAGATACTACAAGGTGGTAACTGGGAGTCTGCCCAGTCAGTGGGTAACATCTGATTCTCCTTCCCAGAGAGGCTTCCTGCTGGATTTACTGTCTCTCCTTCATACTCCCACAGCATCATCTACACATCATTGACAACATTATTTATATTACAACTCTTTATTGGTCTCTCTGCCCAGATTAACTGAGTGTCACATGGTAAATCCTCACTTGTAGGAAACACAGAGGTAAGGAGATTCAGTAGTGATGCAGACACACAGGCCTCATCTTTGGATATAGAATTTCAGGATGATGGGCTGTGAAGTAGACTTGAAGGTTCAACCCGAGAAATCAATCATTCTAGTGGGTATACAGGTCTGGCAAGAATCGGGGGTGGGGGGGGGGAGGTTGGGTGGGGAAGGTCTGACTTCATGCCAAACTTAACAAACCGGTGGGCCTGAGTCAGAGATTATTAACCCAAGCAAGATTGGCTCAAGAACTGAAAGGACATTTTATTGAACGTGGACCATGAAAAGATACCTCTTCAAGAATCTTGGTAAGGTGTAAACATAGGAAAGATGGTGGAATCTGATATAACTTTACAAAATCATTGATACTCTTAATAAATTGGGCTTAGGCAGAAACCAGAGTTTGTCTTTCTGAAATGACTACAATAATAAATGCAATAGCTTTTGTGGTACAAAGTTGCTGGGAACACTGATTAGCAAATATGGAACCATTGTTCCTAGGGAACATGCAGGTTTAGGTTCCTGTGAGCTGTAGTCACATTTTCATCAACTGATTAATACATAACTTTGTTTTATATATGTTTCTCTTTAAAGATGATTTATTTCCTTATTTAATATGTATTATGCCTTTATTAACATTGAACTCCTGGCCAACAACACTGTAACTTATGTCTTAACAAAGTTTATCTAAACATATAGTTCTCTAAAAGGTTATTCTTGTGATTGGGAAGACTAGAAGGCACTTTGCACTGCACTTGGGAATCATTTTAAACAGCAAAATCACCAGTAAAAAGCACAAAAATGTGGAAAATGTGGCACTAAATATATTACAAAAAGGACACTTGTTTCTAGTATGGGAACTAAAACAAGAATAGTGTTACCTTGTTCACCTTCAGCTGGGAATGTGTAGGTCAGGTGACTCAAATTTTTCATTGCCCACATCCATGAATGACCATGAAAGTGCCGTATTGATTTGGGGGTTACACATAAATTTTAGGAAGTAGGCAAATTCACAAAATTAGGACCCACAAATAATGAGAATCCACTGTATTTACAGTTTGTTGAACACCTACCACCTGTCATTGAACTAGGTACTTTACATATACACACATCGTCAAGCTTATCACCTTTCCACTCTTCGAACGAGATGACTCAGAGTTAACAACAGTGCACATATCCTTAGATCAATAGGCTAACACCACTGGAAAAAGTAAACCTTTATAATAAGATTAATGTTATACAATTTTTACACTGAGCTTATGGATACATTAATGGGACTAGAAACTTGGAACAGGCTAGGCTTCTGCTTCTCTTGGAAATATCTAACTCAATAGTCTGAACTCTTATAGAAAACTCACATTGCACAGTCAGCAGTAGGGGCTATTGACTGATTATGCTTAAAAACCTACAACCTACTAAGGTCTGAGGAGAATCTTTCTTATAGGGAAACACGACCAGCTGTTAAGAGCACAATCATCTTCCTAAGCAACATTATGTAAAGCCAAAAATAGTCAAGTAAACAAATTCAGAGACAAATATGTCTTTCAGGGCATTGACTGACTGAGTAGGAACCTGAGAAGTTAGCAAGCTTTAGAACATATAAAGTTTTGAAGCTTCATGCTTACAAAATGATGGTCTTAGGTGATCTGAGCATCCACAATCTTCCTATCTGCTGCTTGCTTTCCATTCAAGTCAGTCTGGACTCTGTTCCAAACTACAGTATGCTCACTCTTCCTCCTCATCTTTACTCTTAACACAATGTCACTCTCTTCCCAACCAAATCACCCTTAACTGGGAAAGCACCATTTAGTCTCACATCTTCCATTAACTTTCTGGACCCCCTCAGCCCTCCAATGCTTCTTGTGTGGGGGAGGATCTGGGGCACCCAAAATCTAGCTCACTTGTCACTATGTAAGAGGGAAATAATAATGCATATCTCAGAATTTAAGCAGGGTAGCATGTGCACATGCACAGTACTAAGTGAATGCTCAACTTTGTTGGTGATTCTGAATCCGAATTCTGTTCTTCACCTTGGTTCATATAAATTAACTTTTTGTTACCTCTTCTGAGACAGCTTTTATGAAGAAAAGGATAATAAGAGACATAAGAGTCATAAGAGACAAGGCAACAGCAAAAAAGAACATGCTTTGGGGAGTGATTTCCAGATTCTGAACTTTCTGGATGAGTACATGAATTTGGGGAACTAATATCATATTGCTTAATAGCTCCCATTTGTCTAAAATCTCCCTAATAACATTTTTACCTTATGTAATAATTTTTACAAAATAAACACATTTTAAATGGGAAAAGCAAGAAGAACATATTATTAGAAGTTCTGAAAATGAATAGGGGCACCTAGGTGGCTCAGTCATTTAGGCGTCCAACTTCAGCTCAGGTCAAGAGTTTGGGCCACACATTGGGCTCTGTGCCTACAGCTCAGAGCCTGGAACCTGCTTCAGATTCCGTGCCTTCTTCTCTCCCTGCCCCTCCCTGCTCACACTCTATCTGTCTGTCTCTCTCAAAAATAAATAAACATTAAAAAAAAAAGTTCTGAAAATGAATAAATTCAGCTTCAGGAAAAACTCACCTCATTTGCACACCCACTTATCCTTTTTGTTCACTCATCAGCCATATATTAAGTGATATGCACCAGGAATGTTTCTGCATGATAAGGTACAGTGGTAATGACAGTGAAGTTCTCTGTATTCATGTAACTTATGGTTTTTTTGGTATCAGAAAACAGATCTGAGAAAACTCATGACCAACCGGTACCAATCTAGGCACTGGACATGCACTGGCTTTTGAGAGTGGTAGCATGAGAGTACATCCCCCGCCCCGCCATAGATGTAAGGTCCAGTCCCTACTTCTGAGTCTTGAAGAAAGAAAGGAACAGGAAGGTGTCACACTGTACAGAGACTGGAAGTAGCTCTCTAACTGATCATCTTCTGGCTCTGGGGCAGTGAGTGCGCCAGCCTAACAAGTGAACCTCAGGCTGGTTACTCTTGGTGAGTACAGCCCCCATATAAACAGAAATCTTTCTAGAAGTTATTTTTGGCCGTGAAGGACAATGACATATATTTAGTCCAAAGAAACCTGAAATATAGGTCACAAGTGATTTCAAACAGTTGTCAAGGTGTGGAGGTGAATCCGGAGAAAAGAGAGGTGGGGTGAAATCCTGGCTGTATTTGAGGAGTTCCTCAGTTTGTTTCTCACCAGGATTCATAAGAAAAG